ATGTTGGTTGAGATTTGTTTTTAGTTTGGATTTGTATTTTTATTGGTATAGTCCTTAAACATCTGGAAAAGGGACTACCAATGAAAACTAACCTTTGGGCTAATTTGGGTACATTTACATTCTTGGTGAACCTTGATTAATGTACAATGTCCCTTGTTGTGAAATAAATAAAAGCTAAAACCAAGACAAATAATTAGGAATGCTATTAAATTATTTGAGATTTATAATGTCAAAATTAGCCTACTTTATTTAAATATGTTTAATAAAAGCTTCTATGGTACACATATACAACAAAATTGCATCTTTATTTTATAATAATTAATATAATAGGCATGCAAGACAATGAAAAAAAAAACTTTCACATGAAAAGGTTAAAGACTTCAGAACTGGACAACACCCATGTGCTCAACTTATATTCTTTTTAGCATTTACTTACATTAAAAAGGCTTATTTGACTGTATTAATATAAAATGGTCCACAAAATCTTCTTTTTGACAGCGATTAGTAAATTTGATACACTATATTTGATATTTGATAAATCCAGGCACATGGAGAACAGATCACACACCATCTTCAGGAAAAAAGATATCTCTAGCAACAGATTATGTCAGTTGTGTAATTCAGCATCATTTTGCCTGCCCCAGCTTTTCTCACTACAGATAATTGAAAACAAATGGAAATCAATGGTATTTTTTATTCTACAGCCAACTTGGTTAGCTTTTATTGGGCTGTTATCAATAGAGCTTAAATACAGGACTCTCATAAAAATCTGGTGACCCTTTTGGTTGATTAAACCAGGGCTGTTCAAATTTCTGACACCGCTTTAGTCCAAAAATTGAGGGGTTGTAAGACGTTTGGAAGACCTGACATTAGGTGACTCACCCTAGTTGTTCAAAGTCATCTTTTAAATCCTGAAGCAAATCAAACAACATGGCTTGGCAATATGTTTGGACAATGTGGTCCTTTGGTTTCAACCCTACATCAAATATGGTCAAAAACAATAACTAAAAAGCTCAAATGTTTTTAGTCTGATGAGTGAGAACAAGTTATCTTGGCAGTTGGAAAGGCTCAGATGTACTACTTTCATTTGTGAAAACAAATCCCATTTTTTGTGCATTTGGCCAGCACATTTCTATTCTCTTTAGCTTATTTAAATATACCTTTTAATTTTAAGGGACTGTTCACCCAACAATGAAATTCTCCTCACCATTTACCCACACTCAGTTCTCTGGTTAAAATCTTTACAAATGTATTTTTTTCTGTTGAAGACCAAACAATCTGAAGCATCCTGAAGAATGCTGGAAAGCATCACTCATTGACTTTCTTAGTAGGAATAGAAATACTGGCGAAAAGAATAATAGTGAATTGTCCCTTTAAGCATGTTATAGAACATCACATTACTACAGAATGTAGCAACCTTTGTTTTTTCTCATTCACACTCTTGTGGTATGATTGGCACAATAAGCAGAAAACATTAAACTGAACCTGTTACAGCTTCAGGGACACCTCAAGGGTGCATGTGCTCTTTTTTTGATGCACTTTTGCCCATGTTTTAGTGTGCGTTTCTCACCATTAAGCTAGAAGAGAAGATGAAAGCCTTGTAGTCAGAGGAATCTTCTGAACCCCAGATGAAAGGCGGCATAGAAAGAGGATTCATTTGTTTCGTGGCCAGAATGTCACACACTGACCAAACACAACACACTCTGCTCTAGTGCTAGATTACATGACCGTGTCTTGCAGATGCTGCTGGGAGTGTGGATGTAAAAAAGACTGCAGTGTTGTATACATCTTAGGCCTGGGCATCAAATGACAAACTCTCTTAGCAAACTGTATATTTCTATCTAAAATATTATTGTCTTAAGCTAATGTCAATGTAAAACTGTTTCCCAATTTGTGGGACCATTTTTAGGACACAAAACAGTAATTTTCTTTTTAAATTAAAGTGATTTGGCTTGCTTATACTGGGTCGCTTTTAGCAAATTTAATGAAAATGTGTTTTGTTTTTCTTTGTCCTGCTTTTCCAGAAACTCTTTCAGGCGATTGGTCCTCCTCTGCAGGAAGGAAAGCCTCTCACAGGTAGATCAGAGAAATGAAATACTCTTTCAAATCTGAAAACAACACAGCCCACGTAAATCCTAACACCTGCTAAACTATAACAAGATGTTTCTGTTTTTGATGGCTTGAGCTAACCTAGAAAATGCCCCCGTTTTGTACTGTGATGTTAATAAAAGGAGGTTTGGTGGCACTTCAAAATAAGTTCAATAGACTGCTTTTATTTTGTATCAAAAAGCGACTAACAAACAAGATCCTAACCTTGAAGAAATGTTTTGAGAAATCATGATATAGACCATTTTAATGTGGTCATGTAATTGGCCCATGAACATTTCCTGCTTAGGAAATAGACAATTTAATCATAACTTAATGTTAAACCAGCTATCATAATATTATTAATCAATAATTTATCAAATATTTATCAAAACTCTTTTTGGATTCTTGGAAGCTCTAGAAATTAAAAATGTAAAACATGAATAATGTCAGGATCATTGTTTCTCTTTACATCCATCAAATAACAATATAATAACAACGATGATGATATCAATATTTATAGTGATACTGATATAGAAATATTTGCAAATTGTGCCGCTGCACATTTGACTCACTGTTTAAAATAGCATTTTATTTATTCAAAGTACAGTTGTGTTTTTTTTTTTTTTTCTTTGTCTCCAAACCTGCAGCTCTAGTTTCGTTATTTTAATGTATGCTATTCATGCAAACTATTATAATATCTGCAGTAGAAAATCTTGGCTTCTCTATCGCCATCTGTGGTTGAGAAGCAAAATCATCACTAGAGTAGTTATTTGCGTAGTTTCATTTCACACTGTTCTTCTGCATCAGTGAACTTGATGTGAGGATTTTCTATGGTTGCCATTAATCATTTTGGGATCCATGTGTCTGTCATGTTGTCAAATATAATTTGACCTATTAAATATTATTTTGCTTTTGTTATTTTTGATGTTTTAGCAGATACTTTGCTGTTTTAATAATTTTGAACCATATAAATTAACCATATAAATTTTTTTTTTTTTGCTTTTTCAGTGCATAATTTAGCTTAATGCAAAGCCTATGCTACTAAAATGATCACTGTTATTATTATTATTTTTGCATCTTTTATTGACATTTTTGTTTTGATAATAATAATAATAATAATAATAATAATAATAATAATAATAATAATTACTTAAGTTTTTATAGCATTTTTCTGGACACTTAAAGAACTTTACACATTTTTGGGTGAATCTCCTCATCCACCACCAGTGTGCAGCAGCCACCTGGATGAAGTGAAGGCAGCCATATTGTGCCAGGCCGCACACTAGGCTTAGGCTGTAATACCGTATTATGGTATACCGCGGGATCTAAAAATAGCAACGGTGTCAGTTTTAATACTGTTGTACCATCATAAAAAAGAATGCACTTAAATATGAGAGTATTAAATATTAAATATTATTTATTTATTGCTTACAAATGCATGTCTGATTGTCATAATGGGACAGTGTGGAGCAGAGAGAGGCAAGGTAAGATGGCAATTCGCGCACCAAGTGACCTGTGTGTGTGCAGTGGTGCTGTCTCTCTCTCTCTCTCTCTCCCTCTCCATCTCCATCTGTGTGTGTGTGTGTGTGTGTGTGTGTGTGTGTGTGTGTGTGTGTGTGTGTGTGTGTGTGTGTGTGTGTGTGTGAACGAGAGAGAGCGCCCCGCGCAGATCTCTAGTATAAACAAGACAAACAGGTAACCTTAAAGGTTGCATATACAGTATTCAGTTTCTGAATGATTCGGGCACAAGCCAACAGTTTGGTGACGCTGTCTGTACCTTACGTCATCATTTTTTTTTATGCACAGTAATACCGGATACCGGATACCGGCGTAAAATAGGAAGGAGGTTTGACGTTATCAAAATTTGGACACACGGACTAGAGCTTAGATCAGGGCCAAAAAATGAAACCCGACATTACCTGAGCCCGTGTACCTTGTGTCAGAGCTCGACCCGGTCCGACACATTAATTGTAATTATGAACCCAATTTAAACCTGACTATTTTTTAATGCATAGTCCGTTATAACAAACGTTCCCAACTACAATTCTGAGATGTTGGAACTACATAAATAAGTTGGAAGTCCTCGTTTTTATGCCTTTTTTACACCACATGCGTGAGCAGCATGTTTTTTTTTACATCCATGGTAGCAAATAAATATTAGAGCTTTCATACCAAAAACAGAAGCAGTGTGTCAGTGCAGAGCGTGAGCATAGCTGAAGCAGCTGTGCGGCACTCATTGGGTCTTTTTTGCAGGTGATCACACTCAGTTAAAGTGACAGTGATAATGACCCAAACATTGAATGACAGTAAAAATTTGCGATTTTACTAAATAGATGCATTTATGCGATTCACTGATTTTTATGCATTGTTTCAGCTCTACATACACAATGCACATGTGCTGCTTCACCTCTGCTTGTGCATGCAATGTGTGGCAGAGGAGGAGACACTTTTGCAGGAGCTAGAGCGTTGCTTTGGGTTGCTCCTTTGTTTTTTAATACCACACTCTCGTGTTTGTTCGTTTCTAAAAAAATAAACTTCAATAATCATGCATATGTTGTTTTAATCAGCTCAAGAAGTTTGTTATTTCAAATATAGACATGCGGCGGGCACAAGTGAGAAATTAGACTTTAGATGGTTTAGACAACATTGTAAACAACTACGGGGGATAGGGTAGGTCTGCTCTTATTATTGGTTTTGTGGCTGTTCATCAAGACGTCGACAAGGTTTGGTAAAGCTCGGGTTGAACATGGCTTGTTATTATATATACATATTATTACAGTGAAATGTCTCTGCTGTGTTTTTAAAAATAGCGGTTTCTTTGTTTTCATTCTCCTGGCTTGTTCCACAAGTAACTGACGTATCTCTTTAAATCAATAACGTTCAGCTGCGCATCTTGCTCTGCCTTTTGTTACGCATTTGTGTGCATAAAAAGTGGTATGGTACAGTTTGCTTTTAGGTACTTTTTGACAGTGGAATCAGCCATAAAAGCGTACTGTACCGTACCATACCGTATGGTACCAGGGGCCAGAACACGGCAACCTTCCTTTCCCATGTGGTACTGATTGGGTGCAGCCCTCCTTAGCTTCAGTGGGTGACCATGTGAGATTTGCAGAGAGCTAGCTAATGGCTTTATGGTCTTACTTCTCTACGGGGTTTTAATGAACAATTTATCTATTTATTTATTGTTGTAAAGCACCTTGGGCAGCCATTCGATTGTAGTGATGTGCTATATAAATAAAGTTAATCAAAAGATTTCATTTGCACACTTACTGCACTGGAAATTCTATTTTTTTGATTTCATGTACAAAATCTGCTCACTAACACTGTTATTAGAATGATTAAAACATAACAATTAAAATTACTCTAATTTTTGACTGCTAAAGTAGCAATGTTTTATTATTTAGGAAATCTAATGCTAAACTTAAGTGCACATAATACCATTTTCCCATGTGTGTCCTATCACAGATGAGCATGTTGTAATGGGGAATAAACTGCTGGTGTACATCAGGTGAGGTTACTTTCTGCATAAATTCAGCAGTCATACGCAGTTGCATGCCGTATAACACACCTGTTCTTTCTTCTCTGCCAGCTGTTGTTTGGCAGGACGTGCCTATCCACTAGGTGACATTCCTGAAGATCTGGTCCCTCAGGTGAAAAACCAGGCAAGTAGTGTGATTACATCCAGATTGCATTAAAGAACATGCATTGTTTGGTTAGCATCTGAGGTTGCACTCGTGTTGTGTACAGCTTGACACCACAATGTCTGTTTTGTTTGTACTGAGTCTGTATGAGTCACGCCGTATTTCTCCCCGTTACACTCATAGCTCTCATAAAAGACACAAGCGTGTGTGTGTGTGTGTTTAGTATTCTCAGCAGTTTGCTCTCAGCAGGGCTTTTAAGGGGAGTTCCTTTTGTTGCCTATCCAAAGTGCTCAAGCAATTAGTTCTGGGATGGATGACCTCAGGAGAAATTTAAAAACGGATGAGGAACATGCACACATGTACACACAGCCTAAAGCTACTCTCACTTTCATGCTAACACAATGAATGCTGTCATACTTTGATGCAAACATTTGATGGGATGAGATCTAGTCAGCTTTTAAGTTTAAAAATGATAATTTTATGTGAACAAAACTGTAAATCAATAATTGCAATAAGAGATATGCTGTAATAACTATAAAACAAGTAGCAAACAAGTAAACAAAGTTAAAGTGACGTATAACCAAAAATGTGATTTAAGTATTCTGGATCAAAGATCTGAGTGATCTTAAATCTGAAGTCTATTAAGCTAGAGAAAGTAAAAGACATAGCAGCATGTGCTGAAATTTCGGCTGGGCCGAATAATGTATGTATGTATTTCAATAAAAATGATAAGCTCTGGACTTTTTTTTTACCTTATATTGATCCAAGAGTTAATAACTCAGCAGAAATGTGCAACAATGAGAATCTAAAAGTGTGTTGATATTAGAGATGTTCTGAATTTTCCGCCACAGAAAAATGATCGGTCGAAAATGTTAAGCCATTTAATGGACTCTCTAATTTTTGTTTCTTCTGTCATTTTTGGGGTACTTTTTTTAATTATGAAAGCATTAAAAAATGATATTGAAATATATATCGTTATCTTTTAATATGGCAAATATTAATCGAAGTTGCATTTTTTGCCATATCGCCCAGTTGTAGCTGAAACACAAGGGGACAAGATCTTGAGCTTCCAGAGAGGATTTTCTGAGTTATATAGGCAGAAGAACTTCTCTCTTTCTATGTCAGCAGCTGATGTTTACACTGCTCAAACAAATTCATTCATGTATCACTAAACTACATCTTACAGTATGTTTCCTTCACCTAAGTTAAGTCAAAGCGAAAGCTGGGTCTTGTCAATATTATCCATGAAGTACAATAGGTCAAGTCAGATAAATTTCAAAAGTTGTGGTTTTGACAGCCTTTAGCAAAATTAGTTTCACTTTGCAAATACCAGAACATGGTTAAAATATCATATTTAAATGCCAAACTAAAGAAAATGCAATATCGATTGCCATCCAAGTGATTTCCCCATAGTGGAAGTTTCCACGTAGCATTGGAGTTCCCCATCCTAGGGGGAGCGCTACGGTTACTAAAGTAACCCTTCGTTCCCGGAGGGGGGAACGTAAATGCTATGTACCTTCTCCACAACGACTGTCCCTCAGCTGTTGAGCGTGAAAGTCTCTTCAGCTCAAAAGCATGTCGAGCATTGTGCCTGGCGCGTCTTTATAGTTTGACTGATTGTTATTGACGCCAGCTATGCACGCCGCCAACTCATTGGCATTTCATTGGCCGGATTTTATACTCTTTCAGATGATTGGTTTCTGACGAAAACCCCATAGTGGAAGTTTCCACATAGCATTTCCATTCCCCCCTTGGGGAACGAAGGGTTACTTTATTAACTGTAGCATTCTCAGTACTGGGTTGTGGCTGGAAGGGAATGCATTGTGTAAAGTAAATGCTAGATAAGTTGGCAGTTCTTTCCGCTGTGGTGACCCCTGATGAATAAAGGAATTACGCCAGAAAATGAATGAATGAAGTTATTCACCTATAGCAGTGGTTCTCAAACTTTGCCAAGTGTATCACTAGTGGTACGCGGGCATTCTTCTAGTTGTATGCGAGGAATTTGTCATATATACATGCAAAATATATATATATATAAAAATGTATCACTAATAATTTATATGAATATGATGACTATATTTATAGTAGTCCAAGCTACATTTCCAGGTTTTGATGAATAGGCTATTATATGTTACTTTACATTTAGGTCCAGGAGTTTCATTTTTTTATTTTAATTTTTTTAATTTAATTTAATTTTTTTACTTTTTAAGACAAGTAGTTTACTATTTTAATTTAACTTTTAAAAGCACATTTTAATTAAAACGTTTACATTACATTTTTTTATTGTTTTTTGTTGTTTACCTTCAAATACAGTACAGTGTTAACGTTCAAACTGTTTATAATGTTTAAAGTGGCTGACAATAATAAATATTATAAATAATAGGAATTAATCTGCCTGGTTTTTGAACTGTGCTGAGCTGTAGCTGCTTAATTGGGCCCACTACGCTACTGTATTTCAATACTCTTCATTATGGTGGTACTTGGAGAAACTATTTTTTTTCTGAGGTGGTACTTAATGAAATTAGTTTAAGAACCGCTGACCTATAGCACATGCCTTTGGACTGTGAGAAAAACCGGAGCACCCAGAGAAAACCCACGCGGACACGAAGAGAAAAATGTCAACTGTCCCAGCCAGTGCTCGAACCAGCGACTTTCTTGTTGCGAGGTCACATTACCCACTGCGCCACTGTTTATAGTGAATGTATGTAAGTTTATGTTGTGCAGTTCTGATTTATTTTTTTAGAAGGGCATAATACAAACTTTGTCAGTGAAGGCATATTAGCATGGTAAACATTCATAAATGTGATAAAAACAGAATTAAGAGATAAATAATCAGAAATAGCAGCAATTCAGAATTCTTTACTTTAATAGACTTGCAAGTTAAAGTCCAATTCTAAACGAAAAAAGCGATTTCTTCAAATTGCATGTCTATAACTCACAATTTTGACTATACAGTAACAAACAATTGCAAATTTGTGTAAACCAAAAAAACAAACAAAATCAGAATTATTAGTTTTTTTAAAGATATTTGTGACTTCATTGCTGGAAACAAATTAGATTTTTTTTACCATTTATGGTCAGGAAAGAAAAACTGCAATGTCTGTGGCCATCTTGCTCCAAAGATATATACACTAATTATTGCATACGGACCTTGAGTATGCGTCAATATTGCCACCACATTTGTACAGTGCTCCCAGGTCAAATGTCATTCAACTGCGCTAGTCAGGACTAAAGCCAATGTCAAGATGCTGGACTTTAGTGCCGTGTAAGGATGTAGTAATAAGTAAACAAAAAAAACAAAGCACAAAGGCATAACATTTCATAGGTAAGATTTAATTTTCTACGTTTTTGTATATTACTAACTTTAGTGCTTAACAAGTGTTATTGATGATAATACAGCCTCTTACTGCACTGATCATAAGGCAAATAACAGCAACTTAAACCAAATACTAAGCTTATTCTAGTTTTGTTGAATAAAATAAGCAAACAATGTGAATGAAATATGACAACAAGACGCTGCAGTGCTAGAAACTTGTGTTATTGTCGGCTAAGTAAACGAGTTGTTCATAACAGAAATTAATTCACAAACGAATCACTCCCACCATTAGAATGAGAAGTGAAAGCAGTTTAGGGGGTGTGTTTCAGGACACGGATTATATCAAATTGAACAGGGAGAGAGGATAACACATTTCCATGCACACAAACACATGCTGTTTGTTAACCATGCGTATTCAGTCACTTATCCATTGATGTAGAAAAGTGATGTAAAATTATAATTTTCATTAAAAAAAAAAGTGCATACTGACAATCGGGAAAACTCCCGATCATAGATATGTATATATGAGTCTATATCTCTGGCTCTGGATGGCCAGTCCTCCTCTGCATCATGGTCCAACATTCAGTTCAAGGGATCGCTACCCTGTACTAAAATGGGGGGTTTATTGACACATTCCTTCCAATAGACAACAATAGCGTAGGTTACATCTAATGCAAATATCTATGATATTGCCCTATATAATAAAATATGTTAGAGCTCCATAATATTGGAAAAATCAGACATTGCAATGTTTTGTTTTGCTGTAATGCATATTTCGATATGTATATAATTTTTATCAGACGATTTGAATAGGTATGTATTTTGAATCATGTATTTAATTTAGATTGACTTGTCTGATCAAATCTTTTTCTATGCAGTGCATTTGCATAATATATTTATATAAAAAATATAATATGACGAATTACAAGCAAATATAAATACAATAGAGTAAAAATATAAACTTAAATACAAAAAAATAAAACTTAAATACATAGTGCTTCCTGGTTTTCTGAGGAGTCTAACAGCATTCAAATATAGAAATTGAACAATCAATTGTAAAATAACATG